TTTTTTGTCCTGTCCAATTCGGCCAGTAATTTAAGCTTCTGGTTATTCTTTTGTAGGCGAAGGGGGCGGACGAGGTTTTCATGAGCCATCTACGTTCCGTGCACCGATCATGTTCGAGACACGGACGCACGCTTCAGTTCTGGGCTAACGCTCTTCATGATGACCCTGAACAGTTGTGGAATCTCCCCCCTGGAGTCATAGCCATGGAATATGGCAATACGGTATTCCTTCTCTTTCGCTGTGATAGCCATAGTTTACGGTGTTTTCAATCTCTTTTTTGTTACTGAAAAGAGAAGCGACAGGTCGACGAGACACTGTTGGCCTATAAATTTGCTGTCAGTCATGGTTGCTAGATAACAGAACATTGTCAATAGACAAACATCAATAACCGCGCTCAGATTTTAGTTTAGTGGACTGCTGTCGTAATTTTGATTCGTTCTGTCAGTTTGAAAAACCATAGTTAATAGAGGGAAATGGTTATGAAACCTGGCACTTGAAGTTCTTTGTTGTATGTTTTTGTTTACTTTTTTGGGGGTTGACCCTGCACAAAACCTGACAAAATACAAAAGGTGGTTATGTGTACTCGTATCACTAATCAATAGAAGCATTGCGATTATGTAATTGATGCATAGTCTATGAGCATAAAACAAAAGATGTGCAGGGTCAAGGACCTTCCAACATAAATCTTAGCCTGTTTGTTAACTTTGCTTCTTTGATGTTTAACAGGCTTCTTAACCATTTCTTCCCATTAACTTTGGAAAAAAGAAATCGCAAAACGTACGAGGAACGCTTTGTGTAAAACCCTGTTTTTGGACTAATCTGGTTAGAAATTATAATAAGAGCAAGCGAACGCATAAACGAATCTCATTTTCTGTAATTTCAAGGGTTATAGAAAGGGATAAATGTTCCCGAGGTTACTGCCGGGTTAACTTTGCCTTAAAATCCCCCTTCAAAGGCGAGAACGTCCTTAAATCGCTTCTTGATTTATTGATTATTTACTTGAATGTTACAAATCATAATTCAGGCGTAAGTTTTATACTGTTTTTTTTTTTTCGTTTATATATTTAGGCTGATCACGACTTTTTCAAATGTTGTAAGCCATTAGTCGATGCTGGGTAAGTATGATCACATGAAGCAAATGGTATTTTACCAGCTTTTTCTTTTGGTAAAAAAAGTATAATAGAAAAATACGGTTGCGTATTTTAGTTTCAGGTCGAGGAGTGGTTTATTTATTGATATATTTTTGGCTTCCATTTCAGAGTAAGCTTCTTTGTTTGTCCAGGAACTAGTTCGTGGAACAGGTGAGCCGTTAAATTTAGTTTCTCTTCGCTAAACAAACGCCAAAACTTTAGGAAACGATATTAATACCGAGACTCTCTGCAAGACAAAAAGATTGCCCTCTAGTGGGAAGATATGCAGGTGTGAATTTAGTAAGTTTCTATTGTTAAATTCTGGGTTTTTCTTGACAGTGCTTGTGGTAACACCGAAGAAAGTA